TGGGATGACTTGCGCCTATCTGTTTCCTAGGTCCTCAGCTCTAAACTCATGCCAACAGCTGATGATGACATGGCAAGAAGCTGTGCAAAATCCTTCTGCGAGAACTTCCTCAAAGCCGGGGGTTTGAGGTGAGCATTTTAATGCATGTATATGAGTTACAGAAAATGAATAGTTATTGGGACCAGCAGATGGCATAATGGTTACATAGCTGGACTTCCACATTGTCAACCATGGTTCAAGTCCTGGACCCGGCAGCTTAAACTCACAGTGGGCATGTGTGCGTGCGTGTCCAGGATCCCGAGAGAAGAATGGAGAAGAAGGGATTACAGCATGGGCCATCTGTAATGACAGAGTAATTTCTGTAATTTCTGTCTTTCTTTCTCTCTCTGTCTTTCTAGCAAGAACATGTGCCCTATAGCCAAAACCTTTCTAAAAAAAAGAAAAGAAAAATGAGTATTTTAGTTAATTCCCCCACTAAACTCAACTTATTCCTACGATATATCATATGAAGCATTATGAGAGTTGTGATAAAAATAAATGCTGTTTCAGGCCTTTAGAGTATTTCAGTTCATTATGACTTGATTATTTGAAAAGCTTACAGAAGCACTTCTGTTTCCCCTCTGGTAGTAGTCGATTTTCTCAAGAAGAGTAGAGGTGAGGAGGTTGTGTCTGTTTCTTTTGAGTCCCATGTCAGTTTGAAGCAAGGTGAATTTGACTTCCAGTAAATTCATACTTTGCAAGGCATTTGTTCTTGGGCCGCAAAGATAAAGTAGATGTTATTCCTGCCCTGAAGAGAGTCATGTTTAACAAAGAGTAACAGACAGCTGCCTAGCTGTATTTTACGTATCAGAACAAAGGCATATAAAAAGTGTTAGGGATGGGGAAGACAAGAAAGTCGCAGTTAATTTGGTTAAACTTGCTTGGGGTAATAACATTAGGAAATACAGGACTAGGAGGTGGCATGGTGGTTAAGGCACTGGGCTCCCACATGGCTGACTATGGCTCAAGTCCTGGACCCAGCAGCTTGAAAATCACATGGGCACTTGGGCTTGGGTGCCCAAAATCTCAAGAGGAGAATAGAGGAGAAGGGAATGCAGCATGGCCATATCCCCTAGGGGGTGGTTTTCCCTTATCCTATCTCTGTCCCTCTCTGGTGAACACATGTGGCAAAAAAAAAAAAAAAAATCTTTAAAAATAATAATAATAATGTTAGGAAATGCTTAACAGAAAGTGACCTTCGAGCTGGAAATTGAGAAATAAGTAGGAACTCCCTAGGTAAATAAGAAGGGGTCAGGTACTCTCACCCGGGGTGGAGGGTGGGATGAGTGAAAGCATAAAGGTACATTGCCTGTCTTCGGAACCACAGTTGCCTGGTGAGCCTAGAGCAAAGGAAGAAGAGGAAAAAAAAATTGTTTTTAAAAAGGTTGCATTGAGAAATTTGAACACTATCTTGTAGTCCATGAAAAGAAAAACAGACATTTTTTTTAAAAGCCAGGAATTACCTAAAACAGTTACTCTGGCAGCAGTGGAGAAACTGAATGAAGTAGAGAACTCCGAAGGGCCACCAGAGTGGTCCGGAAAGGAGATGACAAATGGCATTTGTAAGATAAATCGGCAAGACTTTATGACTAGTTTGGGATAGAGTAGGGATATTTAGAAAATGGCCTATGGTTTCTGTCCCAGGAGAACGGGTGAATGGTGAGTATGAGAAATAAACAGGAGGGAGATGAAATGAATGGAGGAAGGCAAGAGGGCTACTTTTGGTTGTATATGAGGTCCCCGAGAGTCATGAGAAGTGGATGATTTGGATCTGGTGCTCACGAGAAAAGTGGAGGATGGCCTTCGGGATTTGGAATGGTGTCCATGTGTAAGAAAAGCCATTATGGAATAAGCCAGCTGACAGAGTTGAGTGGCAAGTGTAAAGTAGGAAAGTAGAATCAGTAAGTATTTCATAGAAATCCTTTTCTTACAGATGAGTGAAAAAAAAGGGGTGATAGTAGATTGAAGGGAGTACTAACAGGAAAGTTTGCTTTTCTGTTTTGACTTTACTTGTAGGTAACTTGGTTCTCTTTATAGGCTGATTAATGGTGACTAATGAAGGAGAGAAGAGTAAAGATTTTAAAAAGCTTAATTGATAAGGCTGAGTTCTACATTAGTTGAAAGGAGACTTGTAGAAAGAAGCAGGCATGCCATTTCCTTTGGGCAAGGAAGGAGCAAAGACCAGCTTGAAGCCTGAACGGAGGCTGGTTGAAGGTGTTTCTGTTTAGAGGGCTGGCAGGGAAGAGAAGTTGGGTAGGGACCTTGAGGAAATAGAGGGTTCGAACCGAGGGGAATGGGGCCCAAAGGAATTCCTAAGCAACCTGGAAGCTCTGGTGCATATGTGTAGTTTTAGTCTTTGTTCAGCATCATAGCAGAGTTCTTAGTAAATACTCATTTTAAATTGCTTGGCCATTTATAGGGCTGTGATTACTTATGAATGGCAGGTGATTCATGTACCCCAGTCATTATTTTCTAAGCACTGGGAATACAGCAGTAAGTAGATTAGACCAAAAATCATGTCCTAGGCAGGGAGACAAACAATATACGAGTAATACTGTATGTCAGTTGGTAATGATGGTGGTAGAGAAAAATAGAAGCAGGGATAGAGAGGGCTGTCATTTTCAGTCAGGTGATCAAAAACAATTTCCCTGATGCGGAAAGACCTGAAGGAGATGAGGGAGCGAGACCTGGGGAAAGCCTTCCAGAGGAGCAGCCATTGCATAATCTGGGTGGGGACCTGCCTGGTATCTGCAAAGACCACAAGAGGCCAGTGGGATTGGGGCAGAGTGAGTGAGGCAGACTAGTGGGACATGAGCTTACAGAAATACAGGAGATGAGGTTGTGTAAGCTCACCCCAGTAAAGACTCTGCCTTTTTTCTGCATAGGAAGTAGGAAGACATTGGAAGATTATGGACAATGGACCATGATCAGATTTATAGTTTTAAAGGATCATTTTGTTTGATATTTTGAGAATATGTTTCCAGGATGGAGGGTCAGAGTAGAAGCAAGGAGAACAGTTAGGAAACTTTTGCAATAATATAGGGTATAGTGGATATGAAAAACAAGCTCAATTGAATATAACAATTCTGAAATTTTTTTTAATTGATAGTTCTACTGGTACCAAGATAGCAGTTGTTCAATAAACTCAAACCAATTAACGAGAAGGGACATTCTGGAACATTGTCTTGGGTAGCTATTTGATTTAGCCAAGAGTCTGTTTCTAAATGAGCTAGAAGGGTTGCAGGTGTCTTAGTAAATCGCTGTGATAGAAATATGTATGGTCCATTTATATGTAAGAATCTTGTAGAAGCTGTAGATGATTGATGACATTAAAGAACAATTACTTGCAGGAAAGTTCTTATGAAAGAAATAGAAGTCTTTAATGTCCCTTTTTCTTTTCTTTTCTTTGAAGTTTGGTTGTAAATGTCATGCAGAGGGATTCCATCCCATCAGAAGTAGACTATGAGACAAGGCAAGGTGTTTATTCCATCTGTCTACAACTTGCAAGGTATGTGACTATATTCCATTAGTCTCATAAGGCAATACTTGACTTAATTTTTCTTCCCAAATTGTATCACTTTAAGTAATGACATGACCTTGAGTAAGTTTAGCTTTTTCTTTTTTAAGATTCTTACTTGTTGGACAGACGATGCCTACATTATTAGATGAAGACCTCACCAAAGATGGCATAGAAGCACTTTCCTCCCGCCCTTTCCGAAACGTTAGCCGGCAGACAAGCAGACAGATGTCCTTGTGTGGTACCCCAGAAAAGTCATCCTATCGCCAGTTATCAGTATCTGACAGGTCCTCTATTAGGGTTGAGGAAATCATCCCTGCAGCTCGAGTTGCAATACAAGTAAGTGATTTGTGTATTCCAGAAAGAATTACCTCCTATTTAGAAGACCTGCTTGGAGAGAGGAGGCTGTGCAGGCATAAAACTGAGTAAGACATGACTATCGCCTTCAAGGAACGTTAGTGAGAAAGAGACCACCAGTGCAGAAGTAGCTATAATTCGCTTAGAGTTCACAAGTGCAGTGGGAGAACTGCAAAAACAAAATGTTCTGTGGGCATTCAGTGTAAATGGAATCATTGCCTTCACCTGTTAATAATTTCCTTTCCTTGACTATCATGGATGACTTTTATGTTGGAGGATGTCTTGGAGCTACTTCTTGAATAGGTACGGATTATATAAAGAGAGACATAAGTATGCAGGACCAGTAGCAGCAGGATTGGCAGAGGGTGATCTGAAGTCAGAGCGCGGAGGTCACAGTCTGCTTTATAGGTAACAGAGAAAGGGTGAGTGTGAGCTGTATGAAAAGGCTGTTGTTCTGGATGATCTTGGAGGGAGCAGTCACAACATCGAGACTACTAGGAAGGTTACAGACATCGGTAGAATGTGTTCACGCACCCTCTTTCCTTGTAACATTCTTCCCCTACTTCTTTAGACGATGGAAGTAAGTGACTTCACTTCTACAGTGGCTTGTTTCATGAGATTGTCATGGGCCGCAGCTGCAGGACGACTTGACCTTGTGGGGAGTAGCCAGCCAATTAAAGAAAGTAACTCCCTGTTTCCTGCTGGGATCCGGAACAGACTCAGCAGTTCAGGTACTGACTAAAATGGGGCGGTGGTTAGAACCCTGGGCAAGAAGGGCTATGGGAGTCATCTGCATGGTGGACATTTACACACATCATGCTTCATTTAAGAAAAAAGGTGTTTATAAACACACATAGTATGTGGGGAAAACCACATCTGGCAGTCTTTGGCTTTAGTGAGTGTGAAAGTGTCACGAGACCAGTAATCGGTCGTAATATAAATTCCTCTAGAATTCCAATCTGGAATACAGTTCTTTCCTTAGTTTAGCAGGTTACTTTCTATTAGGCGTTTTCATATAGCTTTATTTCTTGGCTTTGTTTGATTTTCCTATTCGTTCTATGTGTGTATAAATCCCCCCGTAATCAAAGTTTTTTAAAGGATGACATACATATGGTAAAATGCAGAAATGCGAAGCGCAGAGTTTCTATATGCATGTAACTCATCGAGATCAAGTTACAAAATACGGAACGTTTCTAATATCCCAGGGAGGTTCCTTCATGCCCCCAAAGTAGTAGTACTCTAAACTTCTATCACCTGAAATTAGTTTTGCCTTGTGAACATATTTTGAGTGCTGCAAATGTGTTTTAAGCACAAAGTAGGTAGGGTGTTTTAAAAACAGTGCCTAAATCGCTCTTGTTTCTTAAACCAAATGCATTCTTGAACTACCTAATGTCACATAAGGATTCTGGAATGTGCATTACAGAGACACAGAAGCACCGCCCAGTTCTGGTAAGGTCCACAGTAAGCATCTGTCTGTCTATTCCAGGAAGCAACTGCAGCTCTGGAAGTGAAGGGGAGCCTGTGGCCCTGCACGCGGGAATCTGTGTCCGCCAGCAGTCCGTGTCCACCAAAGACTCACTGATTGCCGGAGAGGCATTGTCTCTTCTTGTAACGTGCCTGCAGCTTCGGAGCCAGCAACTGGGTATGTAGGAGGCCAGTGGTGATGACTCTCTGAGGGAATGGCCAGGTTTTGTTGGGAATTTCCGATAGGGTCCTATATCAGAAATCAAAAGGAGGGGCAGTTGGCATGTAGGGCAGGTGAGAGTAGGGCACCAGCAGTCTATTCTAAAGAAGTATTTATTGAGCACCTTCTGTATGCAAGGTTCCACAGTGAGTATTGCAAGGGCAGTATGCCTTGCCCTCCAGGAGCTTACTGTCTAGTAGAGGAATTAAAACAACCAAACGAGTTTACAAATTCTAGAGTTAGAATTATACATCAGTTTCTGATAATAACTCCAGAATTCAAAATTATGAAATTAAAAATTTGTCCTTTTTTCTTTAGCGTTGGCTTTGGTGAACTGGGGTCCATCCTACTCTGTAGCATTAGAGCACCCCAGCCCCAGCCCCTGGTCCTCTCTTCTCTGTGTATACTCTGTAGCATTAGAGCACCCCAGGGTCCAGCCCCTGGTCCTCTCTTCTCTGTGTATACTCTGTAGCATTAGAGCACCCCAGGGTCCAGCCCCTGGTCCTCTCTTCTCTGTGTATACTCTGTAGCATTAGAGCACCCCAGGGTCCAGCCCCTGGTCCTCTCTTCTCTGTGTATACTCTGTAGCATTAGAGCACCCCAGGGTCCAGCCCCTGGTCCTCTCTTCTCTGTGTATACTCTGTAGCATTAGAGCACCCCAGGGTCCAGCCCCTGGTCCTCTCTTCTCTGTGTATACTCTGTAGCATTAGAGCACCCCAGGGTCCAGCCCCTGGTCCTCTCTTCTCTGTGTATACTCTGTAGCATTAGAGCACCCCAGGGTCCAGCCCCTGGTCCTCTCTTCTCTGTGTATACTCTGTAGCATTAGAGCACCCCAGGGTCCAGCCCCTGGTCCTCTCTTCTCTGTGTATACTCTGTAGCATTAGAGCACCCCAGGGTCCAGCCCCTGGTCCTCTCTTCTCTGTGTATACTCTGTAGCATTAGAGCACCCCAGGGTCCAGCCCCTGGTCCTCTCTTCTCTGTGTATACTCTGTAGCATTAGAGCACCCCAGGGTCCAGCCCCTGGTCCTCTCTCCTCTGTGTATACTCTGTAGCATTAGAGCACCCCAGCCCCAGCCCCTGGTCCTCTCTTCTCTGTGTATACTCTGTAGCATTAGAGCACCCCAGGGTCCAGCCCCTGGTCCTCTCTCCTCTGTGCATGCTCTGTAGCATTAGAGCACCCCAGCCCCAGCCCCTGGTCCTCTGTTCTCTGTGTATACTCTGTAGCATTAGAGCACCCCAGGGTCCAGCCCCTGGTCCTCTCTCCTCTGTGCATGCTCTGTAGCATTAGAGCACCCCAGCCCCAGCCCCTGGCCATCTCTTCTCTTTGTATACTCTGTAGCATTAGAGCACCCCAGCCCCAGCCCCTGGCCATCTCTTCTCTGTGTATACCCTTTTCTTGGTGAGCTCATCAGTTTCATGGCCTTGCATTCCACTGATATGCTGACAGCTAACACCTACATTGAGATCCGTGACCTGGACCGTTGTCCTCACCTCTCCACTTTGATAAGATGTCCCAAACTTAAGATGTCCAGAACCAGCCACCTGATCTTGCCTGTATTACCTGAGAGTTTTCCCAAATTATGGGAAGTTTCATTCTTCCTGTTACTCTGGCCAGAAACCTTGACGGCATCCTTGATGGCTTTTTTGCATATCCTACTTTTAACCTGTCACATGCCTTCTTTCACACTGTGTCTAGCATCCACCCCTTAGGACCGCCTTCACTGTTGTTGCCCTCCTGCTCTGCCATCATTGCTTACCTGTATTGTTGCAGTAGGACCCTCACTGATCTCCCTGCTTCTGCCCTTGCAGTTTATTCTCCACACAGTAACCAAAGTGGCCCTTCCAAAATGCAAGTCAGATTCTGTCACTCCTTCTTCAGAACCTTCTAGTGACTTCTCGGCTCACCTGGAGTATAAAAGCCAAGTCTTTAGTAAGGCCTTCAAGGCCCAGCACGGTCCACCTCCTTGATGCTTCTGTGCTTTCACCTTCTCCTGCTCTCACGTTCACTCTCTGTGCTTTAGCCACTCTGGCCCCCTTGCTGTTCCCTCGACACCAGGACACATTCTGCCTCGGGGCCCTCACACTGGCTGTCCACGCTCTTTGTCACGTTCTTTCCCCGTCATCCACGGGGCTCCTTCTTCCTCATCTTCTACAAGTATTTGCTTAAACGCAAACTTAAAATCTAGTAAGAATTTCCTTGGCCATCTTTATTTAAGTTTCCCTTGCACTACACAAACTCCATACCTTATTTGTTTCTATATTTTTATTTATTTATTTCTATGTAATGTAATTTCCTTACTTTGCATCTTTTTCATCGTCATCTCCCCAACTAGATTGTAAGCTCCATGAGGTTAGAGGCCTTTGTCCATCTTGTTCCCAGCCGAGTCCAGTACCCACACACTACCTGATGTGTCGTAGGCTCTCAATAAATATTCAGGAATGAAGTCCTAGCAGCTCCACTTTAAAACCTGTACCAATACCAGGGGCCCTACACTTAGCTGTTATTGCTGATTTCTGATTCCTGCTAGGATCTAAATTACTTACTCTGAGCAAGAATGCTTTCGAAGGTTTACATAAAAGAAGTATAAGTCATTATAAAATGGCTTTTGAACATATGCCATACTCTTAGTTTGATTTTTCTAGAATTGTTTAATTTAGAGATATTTTCAAATCAGGATGAAAAAATTATCCATTCCCTCTAAGCTTTTGTTTTTTATCATCTTTAAGTTTATTTTAGAGTACATTTTATAATTCACAAGGACGACAGTTTATCAAGGCAAGACATTTGTTCTGTAACTGACACGTGTAAACAGTGTGCTCAGATGTCAGGTACAGAGCTGACTAAGGCATGGTTCTTGCTCTGAGCACCTTAGAATCTCATGTGGTCAGTGGACAGCCATGGACGCAGTTAGAGAAGGTCCTGAATTGTGACTCCAGTGGCAGAAGAGAAGAATTTCCGCTTAGGTCGAGATTAAGAAATAACTCAAAATATTCAGAGTTGTGAAAATGTTTTATCTTACTTTGTTCTTTTTTTTTCTCCCTAATTCTCCTTAATATTAGCATCTTTCTATAACTTGCCTTGTGTTGCTGACTTTATTATCGATATTCTGCTTGGATCACCAAGTGCTGAGGTAAGGATGTTTTACATTGCTTACAGAAACCCTCAGGTCCTGTTATGTCGTGGGCTCTCTCAGATACCTGTGACATTGTGGAGAACACAGAAGGAATGGCATTTAGGACTTGTGAGTCATAAGTTCAGGGCTGCAGACCACTCTGAAAGGAGCCACCAATTGGACTGTACCACCCTCAGCTATGAGACTTGTGTCAGTGATTAGTTTATGTTTGTTGTGACAAACTGTTGTTGCAGCCAGTGTTCTGTATCCATAGCTCGCAAGGGCAGCTGGCATTAAGCATCAAGGTGTTGGTCGGAATCAGGAAAGATCAGCTTCATCTGAGGTTATGATCTCTCTTATATGACCTTGAAAGTTCATTTTCAAACACTTGAAGAAAAGCTTTTTTAAAAAAATATATTTGTAATAAGTTATAAACCTATTTTAGAAGAGTAATAGAATTATTTGGGAAACCAGTTCTCAAACCACACTTATTTTTAATTAGTCCTATTTTATTCAGTGGAAATATTGCCATTAAAAAAATTGAAAAATCTCGGGAACCAGCAGTTAGCGTAATGGCTATGTCGCTGGACTCCCACGTAGTCGACCGCAGTTTGTGTCCCGGACCCGGTGGCTTAAAACTCACGCCGGGCGTGTGTGCGTGCGTGCCCAGGATCCCGAGAGGAGAATGGAGGAGAAGGGACTGCGGCGTGACCATCCCCCCTGGGGGGTGATTTCTCGCTTTCTGTCTCTATGTCTCTCTCTGTCTGGCGAGCGCACGCGCCCTACAGTGAAAATCTCTCCAAAAAAAAAAAAAATTGAAAAATCTCAGACTTTTGTACTATCCTTCCGTAACTTGAATGAATACCATGAACTTTTAGGAAAACTACTTTTTTAAAAGAATTACTTTTTATTTAATTTTATTCATTCATTTAATTTCACCAGAGAGAGATGCAGAGAGAGAGAAAAGGAGAGAGAGAGAGAGAAAGAGAGAAAGAAAGGGAAAGTGAGAAAAAAAGCCACTGGGTCCAGTACTCGAACCTTGGTTGGTAATGTGGGAGTGTCCAGTGCCTTAACCACCATGCCACCTGCTGATCCCCGAGGAAAACTACTTTTTAAGAAGTTTCAAAGCTTTGATCTACACATACCCTTTGCCACTAATTACGTCCTGGAATTTCAGATTCGCCGAGTTGCCTGTGATCAGCTGTATACTCTCAGTCAGACAGATACGTCAGCTCATCCAGACGTGCAGAAGCCGAATCAGTTCCTCCTAGGTGTCATTCTCACAGCACAGCTGCCTCTCTGGTCCCCAACTAGTATTATGAGAGGAGTCAATCAGAGGTACGTAATAAAGTCGAAAAGCTCTTTCTTTGAAGAATTGTAGTAGGAGGTGACTCATGGCTTTACCAGTACAATCCTGAAGACACAGTACAATCAAAAATCAATGGCTACCAACAAGTGGAAGCAATGGCAAACAAAGCAGAAGTGGACTGGTCAAAAGCAAAAGTCATGGTAGCAATTTGGGGGGAATGCTTAAGGTTATTTTGCTTGTCGACTTTATAGAAGGCCAAAAAATGATCTAATCTGTTTATTATGAGAGTGTTTTGAGAAACTTAGCTGAATCCAGAGCTGAAAAATACCCAGTAAAGCTTTATCAGGGAGTCTCTTTACCGTAGTAATGTTCCTGCTCATTCCTCTCATCAAACAAAGACAATTCTTGTGAGAATTTTAATGGAAATTCATTAGGCATCCATATTACAGCTACAGCAGTTTGGCTGCTTCTGACTTGTTTTAGTTTTTTAATCTTAAAAGAAAAAAAAAATTGAGTCAACAAATGGCATGGTGGCTAAGGTGCTGGATCCCACATACCTGATTCCATGGTTCAAGTCTCAGACTAAACAACTTGAAAATTATGCTGAGCACATGTGCATATGTGCCCAAAGTCCAGAGAGAATGGTGAAGAAGGGCTTTGGTGTGGCCATCCCCCAGGGGAGTGATTCCTCACTTTATCTCTGGCAAGTACATGTACCTTAATGCAAAAAAAAAAAAAAAGGAAGGATAATCATTGGTGTACTTCTCCTTTAAAGTCCACCATACATTATTGAGATGACAAAAGGATTTTTCTAACATTTGGGTCCTGTGTTTTTTACCCTATTCAATACAGGGGAAGTAGAAGAAATACTACCAGGTTTTGTTTTCCTCCGTCAACCCCCAACTCCTACCCCATCTCACCTGTTTCACCTACCCCAACGAGAAAGAGGAGCTTGCCTCTTTCCTTGGTTAAGTTATTCCTAAGTATATCTCGTTCAATGCTATTGTAAATTAATTATTTTATTTATTTGTTTTTCAGTTTGTTCATTGTTAGTGCAAGAAATGCAACTGTTGTTAGATGTTGATTTTGTATCCCGCAACATTTTTTAGCTCATTTACTGGTTGCATAATTTTTTTTAGAATCCTTTTATTTTACTTTATTTACTTATTTTATTTTTATTTTTTAATTTGACCAGAGAGGGACAGAGTGAACAAGAGAGAGGGAAAGTGAGAAAGCAAACCACCAGGTCTGGGACTCGAACCATGGTTGGCCATGTGAGATTCCAGTGCCCCTAATCACCACGCCACCTGCTGGCCCAAAATATAATTACAGTTTTATATAGTCTATATTGTTGTTGTTGTTATGCTTATTATTATTTTGCCATAGGGTGCATCTGTTTGCCAGAGAGAGACAGACAGTGAAAGGTAAAGTGAGAAATCACCCACTAGGGGGATGGCCATACCACAATCTCTTTTCTTCCATTCTCTTCTTGGGATTTTGGGCATGCATGCACATATGCCCGGTGTGTTTAAAGCCAATGGGTCTGGGACTCTTAACTACAGTCAGTCATGTGGGACCAGTCATGTCCAGAGCCTTAACTACCGAGAGAGAGAGAGAAAGAGAGAAAGAAAGGGAAAGTGAGAAAAAAAGCCACTGGGTCCAGTACTCGAACCTTGGTTGGTAATGTGGGAGTGTCCAGTGCCTTAACCACCATGCCACCTGCTGATCCCCGAGGAAAACTACTTTTTAAGAAGTTTCAAAGCTTTGATCTACACATACCCTTTGCCACTAATTACGTCCTGGAATTTCAGATTCGCCGAGTTGCCTGTGATCAGCTGTATACTCTCAGTCAGACAGATACGTCAGCTCATCCAGACGTGCAGAAGCCGAATCAGTTCCTCCTAGGTGTCATTCTCACAGCACAGCTGCCTCTCTGGTCCCCAACTAGTATTATGAGAGGAGTCAATCAGAGGTACGTAATAAAGTCGAAAAGCTCTTTCTTTGAAGAATTGTAGTAGGAGGTGACTCATGGCTTTACCAGTACAATCCTGAAGACACAGTACAATCAAAAATCAATGGCTACCAACAAGTGGAAGCAATGGCAAACAAAGCAGAAGTGGACTGGTCAAAAGCAAAAGTCATGGTAGCAATTTGGGGGGAATGCTTAAGGTTATTTTGCTTGTCGACTTTATAGAAGGCCAAAAAATGATCTAATCTGTTTATTATGAGAGTGTTTTGAGAAACTTAGCTGAATCCAGAGCTGAAAAATACCCAGTAAAGCTTTATCAGGGAGTCTCTTTACCGTAGTAATGTTCCTGCTCATTCCTCTCATCAAACAAAGACAATTCTTGTGAGAATTTTAATGGAAATTCATTAGGCATCCATATTACAGCTACAGCAGTTTGGCTGCTTCTGACTTGTTTTAGTTTTTTAATCTTAAAAGAAAAAAAAAATTGAGTCAACAAATGGCATGGTGGCTAAGGTGCTGGATCCCACATACCTGATTCCATGGTTCAAGTCTCAGACTAAACAACTTGAAAATTATGCTGAGCACATGTGCATATGTGCCCAAAGTCCAGAGAGAATGGTGAAGAAGGGCTTTGGTGTGGCCATCCCCCAGGGGAGTGATTCCTCACTTTATCTCTGGCAAGTACATGTACCTTAATGCAAAAAAAAAAAAAAAAAGGATAATCATTGGTGTACTTCTCCTTTAAAGTCCACCATACATTATTGAGATGACAAAAGGATTTTTCTAACATTTGGGTCCTGTGTTTTTTACCCTATTCAATACAGGGGAAGTAGAAGAAATACTACCAGGTTTTGTTTTCCTCCGTCAACCCCCAACTCCTACCCCATCTCACCTGTTTCACCTACCCCAACGAGAAAGAGGAGCTTGCCTCTTTCCTTGGTTAAGTTATTCCTAAGTATATCTCGTTCAATGCTATTGTAAATTAATTATTTTATTTATTTGTTTTTCAGTTTGTTCATTGTTAGTGCAAGAAATGCAACTGTTGTTAGATGTTGATTTTGTATCCCGCAACATTTTTTAGCTCATTTACTGGTTGCATAATTTTTTTTAGAATCCTTTTATTTTACTTTATTTACTTATTTTATTTTTATTTTTTAATTTGACCAGAGAGGGACAGAGTGAACAAGAGAGAGGGAAAGTGAGAAAGCAAACCACCAGGTCTGGGACTCGAACCATGGTTGGCCATGTGAGATTCCAGTGCCCCTAATCACCACGCCACCTACCAGCTCGCAAAATTGTTTTTTATTGTTGTTTTGAGACTCTTTAGGGTTTTCCATATATAATACTATGTCATCTGCAAACAAATAATTTTATTTTTCCCTTCCAAATTTGGATGCCTTTTTTTTTTCTTTTTCTTTCCTATTTGCTCTGGATAGACTTTTTAAATTTTTATTTATCATTATTATTATTCTTCAATGTGCTCACCAGAGACAGATAGAGAGAGAATGAGAAAGCAAGTCACCACGTCTGAGACTCAAACCTCAGTCGGCCATGTGAGAGTCCAACACCTTAACCACTACACCACCTCTGGCCCCAGGTAGACTCAATATTGTATTGAACACAAGTGGTGAGCAGGTATTCTTGCTCTTAAGGGGAACGCTTTCAGTCTCTCATCACTGAATATATTGTTAGCTCTATGAATTTTTCATCTATGACCTTTATATTATGTTGAGGTAGTTTCTCAGTTTCTGGTTGGCTAGGTGTTTTTATCATGAAAAGACATTAAATGTTGCTAATTTTCTGCATCAGTTAAGATGATCATTTTTCTCTCTTTCTGTTAATTTGGTATTGCATCGATTTTCATTTATTGGACCATCTTTGCATTCCAAGAATCAACCCTATTTGTTCATAGTGTATAAATGTACTGCAAAATTTGGCTTGCTAGTATTTTTTTGAGGATTTTTTTCATCAGCATTTAAAAGAGATACAGTGTTTTGTCTGGCTTTGGTATCAGGGTAATGTTGATCTCATGGAGTGAGTTAGGAAGAATTACCTCCTCTTCAGTTTTTTAGAAGAACTTGAGAGGGATTAGCGTTTATTATTCTTTAAATGTTTGATAGATTTCACCAGCCAAACCTTCTGGTCCTGGGCTTTCCTTTCCTTTTCTTTTTTTTTTAAAGAATTATTTTACTTAACTTTATTTGTTTAACTTTATTTATTTATTTTAATTTGACCAGAGAGAGAGAAGGAAAGTGAGAAAGCAAGCCGCCAGGTCTGAGACTTGAACTGTAGTCAGCTGTGTGGGAGTCCAGCACCCTTAACCACTATGGCCCCCCCCACCATGGCCGGCCCCCTGGGCTTTTCTTTGTTGGGAGGATTTTGTTTGTTTTTTCTTTTAAGAGAGATTTTTTGCTATAGGGTGTGTGCGCTCACCTGAGAGACAGAGAGATGGCGAGAAATCACCCTCCATGGGGGATGGCCACACTGCAGTCCCTTCTCTTCCATTCTCTTCTCAGGATCTTGGGCATGCGTGCACACGTGCCCAGCATGAGTTTTAAGCCACTAGGTGTGGAACTTGAACTGCCGTCAACTACATAGGAGTCCAGTGACATAACTACTATGCCATCTCCTGGTCCCCAAATAATAAGGGAGGTTTTTGATTACCAATTTCATCTCCTTGCCAGTTACAGGTCTACTTAGATGTTCTGTTTTTTCCTAGTTCTGTGTTCAGTTTTCCTCTAGTAGACATCTGAATTAAAAGCTACAGGAAAAAAATTGGGGGTCAGCACCTTTACATATTATACTTTAGGAGTCCAACTTGTCCTAGTTAAAATTCCTAAAGAGATGAAGACCAATTATTTTTTTAGCTGAAATGTTTAAAGAGTTAAATTTGTGGTGGTGATCTTTGTTGGAAGACAGCTTAATTAATAAAACCAGATTTGGGGGTCAGCAGGTGATGTAGTGGTTAAGGCACTAGACTCCGCCATGGCTGACCATGGTTCAAGTCCTGGACCCTTTGAAGTCCCCACTGGTACTTGTACTTGCATGCTCAAAATCCCAAGAAAAGAGTGAGAAGGGATTGCGGCATGGCCATCCCTCCTTGGGGGTGATTTCTCACTTTCTCTGTCTCCCAATAGCACCCAATAGCAAAAATCTCTCTATAAATAAATAAAGCCCAATTTTAAGAGTTTGATTTAATATTTTCCTCGAAACTTTGGGACGGAAGCAAAAAAGTATTAAGTGAGATTTTAAACTTCCACTCTCAAAAAATCTCTTTTTTAAAAACATGTTGAATTATAGATCTGTTTGTTTTCATGTAAGATTGAATCTTTGAGTATGTATTAGCATAATTTTAAAATTATGTCACAGAACTTTTTTTTATGCCTGAATTTGGTGCATGTTTTCTCTTAATATGATCATCTTAATAGCCATTACTGTGGACTAGTAACTGTGTCTCACAGCCTGCAAACACTGGGAGTTTTAACTGCAATTTCTGGTTTATATCTCATTGTTGTGCATCTTTATGGTATACAATATGGTTTTGCTAAGTGTGCATACAGCATATAATAATCAAGGATATAGACATTCATTTTATTCAACTTTGAACATTACAATATGTTGTGAACATTCAATAATAGTTATACTGGGACCAGCAGTGAGTGTAATGGCTATGTCGCTGAACTCCCTTGTAGCCAACTGCAGTTCAAGTCCTGGACCCAGTGGCTTAAACTCACGCCGGGGGGCATGTGCGCGTGTGCCCAAGATCCCAAGAGGAGAATGGAGAAGGGATTGCAGCGTGACCATTCTGCCTTGGGGGGGAGGGTATTTCTCGCTTTCTAGCTCTCTGTCTCTCTCTGTCTTTCTGGTGAGTGCATGTGCCCTACAGCAAAAACCTCTCCAAAAAAAAAAAAAAATTTTTTTTAAATAGTTATACTGGGGTTTTTGAAGTGTATGTTGAGTGTTTTTTACCTTTTTATTCTGCTATAGTACACCATTCCATAACCTGTTCCAGTTGCTTACATGTATTCTTGTGTCTATTAATCACTTTCTCCCAAACCTTCTGCCAAAGTTCGTAATCCTTTACATGTGCTTATCTTTTCATTCTCAGAATGGCCAAATGAGTTTGGCAGTTTTATTTCCATTTAGTATAACTGTAATTCTTGGTTCATTGTTTATCCTCATTGTTAATTCATTCTTGAATCTCTAATGTATGTTTGTGTATATGTGTACCTTGTTTCTTTCTAATACTGTAATACGCATTTTAGAAATTAGAAACTGAGAGTTACAAGTGAAATAAGGTGTCTGTAGACACCTAGCTATAAGTAGTAGAGATGAGATTAAAACCAGTGTCTGGTTCTCAAATCTGTGCCATTAACTTATAGAAGAAGCTCCTTTGATCATCCTGTAAAAATAATTTCCTTGTTTTTCCTTTTAATCTGCTTTAGTTCTTTTTAGTACTTATCATCTCTTGACATACATGTATATGTTTTTATTAGTATTCTGTCTCCCTTGTTTTCTCATTCTGTTCCCCTAAAATAGTTCCAGGCATTTGGCAGTACTTCATAGGTATTAGTTGACTTTCGACTAACTGAATGTAATCAATGAGTGTAGTCAAATTTGTATGCCATCAGTGCATATGTTATATAAAAAAGTGAAAGAAGTAATGTTTCCTTCTTTATGCTATTATTTCTGTATTGTATCTGTATTAGTAAAATTATTAATATACTTTTTGCTACAATGTAGAATTTGAATTAATGCGACAATAGTTATTTTTGTTTAGGAAAATTGTCTTGCTCAATTGTTTCATGAACTTACAAGAAAAGTGCTTTTCATTTTCATGTCAGCTTCTTTTCAGTAACTGGAACTACTTGTTTTTTAGACTTTTGTCTCAGTGTATGGAGTATTTTGATTTGAGGTGCCAACTGTTAGATGATCTGACAAGTAAGTAACTGTCTCGCTTTGATTTGGTTTTGGGTGGGTTGGGGAGAGGAAGAACAGACAGGAAAGCCAGGTGAACATTTCTAAATCTCACTTCATATCCAAGGTGTAGATAAGAGTATAATTATTATTTAAAGTTGAATTTTGTTTTCTTTTTTTTAAGAGAGATTTTAGCTATAGGGCGCATGCATTCGCTGAAGAGACAGACAGAAAGCGAGAAATTGCCCCTCGAGGATGACGACCACACTGCTGTCCCTTCTCCACTTCCATTCTCC